ATATATATATATGCCGTTCAAAAATGTGGAAGATTATTTTTGCTGTCAGATGCTGCTGATGTCATGCTTAGTTTTTAGTTTTTCATTAGGTGCTGAATATTTGATTGCTGATGAAAGGCTGTGCTGAATAAGGCTGGGCAACAACAACCCCTTATTGCAAACAGAGATAAGCAAATAAAGAAAAGATCCCCTTTGCCGTTCACCCAGTCCGCTTCTGCAATCCAGTTTAACGGTTTCTGATTTACTGATCTGCTCTTTTCTCTTTTTAGTTGCAGATATTGGTATTGAAGTAAATGGCATGCTGTGACAGCACATATACTATGAAGTGCGGGTTAAGGGTAAAAATATTTTTTTAAAAGACATAAAATGAACACAAGATGTACAGTGCACAAAAATGCTGCTGTTTTCTCTTTTTAGTTGCAGATACTTGTATTGAAGTAAATGGCATGTTGTGACAGCACATATACTATGATGCTTGAGGGTGAAAACATAAATAAAATCACATACAATTAAATTAACATAAGCAATAACTTGTGCAATATTTTTTCTTTAAAAATATACATTAAGGGCTTGTTCGCAGCATCTCCAATCCAGATCTGGATGAGTTTCTGCAAACGTATGTATGTGCATTTTTGTATGCATCTTGTATGTGTTCTCGTGCGTTTTTTCCCATTCCAGTGCATTTTGGTTGGTTTCATGTGTTTACATGCATTTCTGTGCGTTCCATTGCAGAAACAAAATGCTGCAGGTACTTTTTTTTTAAAAAGCTCTGAAACTGCACGCAATGGTGTGAACTAGCTCCATTTATGGAAAAACCATTGGAATTACTGTGTATGTGTTTCAGTGCAGATAAGAAATGTTCTTGTCTGGAGATGGTGTGAACAGGTCCTTAAGGGGAAAAGACCAACTTTACAAAAACTAAAGAAAATTAAAATGTATGTTAACCCAAAATCTATTTTGCAGTATATGTGGAATCATGTCTCACTTTATACAGTTTCCTTAAAGTACATGTTTGCTAAACAATTTCCTAAACCCCCTCCCTAGCCCCATCAGTACACAGATCTGGGTCCCTCCTCCAGCAGATTCCTACTTTCCCTGTCTGATGGCTGCGGCCTCCCTTGGTCATCAATAATTAGTGCCAGGTTGCCCATGCCTTTGTACTAATGTCCCTAAAGGTGCCCATACACCTTACGAATATCGGGCGATTTTCGTATGCAATCGCGTTTTTGTCCGATTTTCGTAAGGTTCATGGGTAGTGTGCAACCCCAAATACTGTACAATCGATTGACTTTTGACTAAGCAGCAGGTTAGAAAACTTTGGTCGATCGTACGATTTTCACAAGGTTGGTGGCGTTTCCGTATGTCAAAATTCATACGATCTACACTGCACATGCGCAGACGAAAATACGTGTGGTCGATTACAGCAATTCGTCCAGGTGCTTTCTTCTAATTACCGCTGATCCAACCTTGCGATAATCGGGGCAGGATGGGGCCGCCGTACGAAAATCGTACGACGGTTCGATCATCGGACGAAAAGTTTCGTCCGATGATCGCAAGGTGTATGGGTAGCTTGACTTGGATTTACTCATATAGCAGGAGCAATGTTCCATTCAATTTTATGGGATATCAGTACGCAGGTGAGGGGAAACCCAGCACTAAATTTGTTATTGGTCCAAGCTGAAGATAGCACAGGAGGCTGCAGTCATTGCACAATTAAATACTGACCTGCTGGAGTAGGGACACGGATCTTTGTATTGAGCGGACTAGCAAGGAGGGATTGGGAATATTTTTAGCAAATTTTAAACTTATTAGTCTGATGTCTAAAGATAAATAATGGGTAAATACATGTAATACATAATTATCACAAGAGTGGTGCTCCAATTCAGTAAAACAAGCCCTTGACAAAAAGTTACTAAGGACAAGTAGTGCACCCAACTCAATGTCATAACAAGCTAATCAATGTGACAATGAGCTGACCAATAAACAGGGATGTTGCTAGCTGCCTCCAACTCAGTGTGATAATGAGCTTACCAGTATGTAAGGATGTTGCTAATAGCACCCAACTCAATGTGACAAGGAGCTGACCAGTATATAGGGATGTTGCTAGTTGCATCCATCTCAATGTGACAATGAGCTCACCGATAAGTAGGGATGTTGCTAGTTGCATCCAACTCAGTGTGATAATGAGCTGGCCATTACATCGAGATGTTGCTAGTTGCATCCATCTTAATGTGACAATGAGCTGACCAATATGTAGGGATGTTGCTAGTAGCAGCCTGCAGGATTTCTGTATTTGTTAGCAGTGGTGTCTTTTAACTTGCCAATCCTACAGCAAGACCTAGCCACAGAGGGATCCACTTCATTGACCAATTACCAAATCTATGCGGTTTGAGTCCATACTCTCTTTTTCTTAGATATTGTTGCCACAGGAACACAGCTCCCTTACCATCCAGCTACTTCACAATAAAAGGAACCACTAAATTTGATTCCATGAAAGGAAGCCCCAAATAACCTTGCTGGCTTTGTCCTCAAACAGCAGCTGAAAAACACAGAGCACTCTAATCCAACATACAGTAGCTGGTACTAATAGTAAAATGTGAAGTTTTAGCTCTCAGTTCCTTATAGCAATAATAAACTATAATTTCACTTGAGCAAGATGTGAAATAAAGAAAAATGATTTGGTTGGTTCCTATGTATATATGTAACACGTTCCTTTTCCTCTGGTTTTTCTAAATTAATCCCATGATAATTATAGTCTGAAACAACTTCCCCAGAGCTTTGCAGTCTTACATGTTTTTACAAGTATGAGAAGGCAATTTAATCATAAAAAGAAAAAAATTAAGCTAAAATGTTTGCTGTTAAAAAAGGCACGAGGTTTTAAAACAGAGTGCTTTAGCATCTCAGTGGATGCTATCTGCAGAAATGGACATGTTTAGTGGCAGAGAAATATTGATATGCTCGTCATGAAAGAGTTGCTATGGAGTTCTCAGGCAGTAAGTGCCTTTGAGAGAGTTGTAAGTAGACAATAAATAAATGAGTAGATTTTATTTCGTTCCTTATGTATCATGATTTGCTATTTTTGGCAGCATTTCATGATGAGTGACATTGTAGATGACAAGAATAAAGTAACACTGTTCACACAAGTCAGCGTGAGGGTCAACTTTGCTTTAAAGCTATTTAAAGAAGGAATTGGAGATAACATAGTATAATGCAATCCACCTTGGTCAGCCAAAGATGTCAAGCTATGTTCAGTCTTATACTGCTGGCTAAACCATAATGGAGATGATTTATTTAATTATCCAGAACTACTTAAATAAAACTTGGGATTTAAAATTCAACTTCTGGTAAAATGAAAATGAAAAGCAACTGAGCTCTGAAGGTCGCACCCAAGGAAAGGCAGGCAGAGGGCAAAGGACTAGTTAGTTGTATTGTCTGCGGGCCCCCTGCAGCTGATTGTTTCCCCATTACTGACTTACCATGCCTTGTTCTGCACTGTGTCTCTGAGTGGAGATGTCCCTCTTGGTAGAGACAGGGCTCTGCTTCTTCATGTCAGAGCCTCCAGCAAAGAGAACGGTGAGCAGTACATTAGAGACATGAACAAAACTCACTGCCAATCTCCTGAGACTAGCAGAGGCAGCAGTGCCTCGGATCTCATTCTACAGATATACCTCTATTAGAATTTAGGCACAGGAGTGCCAATGTACCCGCACATACCAGGAAAAGCATTGGTAATTTTCAGGAGCAATTACAGAAATAAAATAGATGTTAGGGTACTGTTTAGGCACAAATAAGATTTCTATATTTCCCTATAACATTGCAAATCTTCACGTTTAGA